GGGGGTTTTCAGCAACCTTGTCTGTAGTTCCCCTGAGGCTAACCAATGTTGTAGGTTCTAATAAGGAACGCGCTCCACAGAGAGGACTTTCTCAAACCTAGACCCGAAGCCTAAGTAAATAGTGAGGTGTAGCCTAAAGCAGCAGCATCATAAGTTGCTGAACTGGACAGAAATAATTGTCATTCATATGGCCACAAACCGTAGTGACAGATATCTAGTGGTCACTATTGGCAGCATTAGTGCATCACACAGAACACATTTCTTGACGTAGACAATACCAGCATCGACAGTGATGTCTTCCCGTCAAAAAACTAGTCTACTTACATAAGGGAAACTACTCACAAGGTTACTGAAGACTCTTCGACGGCCCACGACCGATTTCACCCTTCTTGGGGCTCATCAGGTAGGCGCAGTCCCTGAGTTTCCGTCAACTTTATGTTCTACTTGAACCCAAATCGGACTGTTTTTGAGAAATGGTCCCCTTACACTCTAAAAGAAGAGAACAAGTTAAAAGGGAGATATCCTTTATTGGTGTTCGACCAAAGAAATTGTCAGTTTACTCGCCCTGAGGGGAACACCTATTTAGTTAGTTCTCTAAAGCTTCTGTAAGGCTTTAAGAGCCTTATGACGTCACTTCTTAACTCAAACCATTGACCAGTCTTTGGAGCAGAAATCCCTCTAAAAAGAGAAATTCGTCTACTCTGCTACTCTACCGAGCAAACAGGAATGTGTTCCAAGACTTGTCCACTACAGATTCAAAAAGCGTTTCATGGGTAGCGTCAATCTGGTGCTAATTACACGTATGATGGGAATTCTGGAAGGTTGACCACCGTTTTTGCCCTTTATCAAGTGTAGTTCCGAAACTTCTGTCAACATCATTCCCTACTGACGGATTAATGAGGTTGACTTACATTCACATGCAATACGCAGACGTGAGCTTGACAATGAGCAAATTAAAAGCTGTCCACGGGTTTGGCCCTATGTGATTTGCTTGGGTTAAGCTAAAGTACACGGGAATTGGCAACGAGCGCTTCAGACCGAATTACAAACAGAAGAGTGAACGTGTGCCCCTTCACCACAGAACGTCACTTCACCGTTGCAAACACTATGACAGGATTGTACACGGGCAAAACCACTTAACTGTCAGCTACACGCACATTCGGGATCTTGAATAATGGATTGTGAAAAACAGGGTGCATAGGAATAGAAAAAACGGCGCTAAATTATTCACAGTGAGGTAGTCCTGTGCTGAAACATGTGAGCTGCTTCCAAATCGGATGGAATGGAAGTGAATGGGATTGGCCACACGCTTGTACAGAGTTTCTCTCAAGGAAGATCCCCTAATTGAGCACCCATCCGCAACTGACGAGGAGAAACTGATTGAAATCCTCGGAAGAGAAATGCGGACCGAGAATTGACAGATATATTCAGGTATATTATCATCTTATCGAAAAATCGATCGAAATGAATTTCCACCCCGAGCTGAGGGCAAATGAGATGGGCCGAAAGAAGCAGACGAACCAACAAATACTGGAAAAACGCGGAACAACAATGTCAATCGCTCATATGAAGTGGGCAAAACTTGTGGGTATCTGCGCAAATACATACCGAACACTGCAAACCACTCGCGTATGGTGACCAATTGAAAGTACGCATTTACGTTTTTAGAGATAAACCGGTTTCTTTATTGGTTTCTTCAAGAGAAGGACTGCCTCTCGTAAAAGATAATTTTTTATCGGGTCATTCATGTGGTCTTTCCAAAGTGCAGCTATTGTATTTTTAGAGGAATGGAGTTTCAGATACATAAGGACCTTGCTGGTTCTTCTACACGCCGTAACAGTTCCATGCATTCAATGAGGCACATGTGCACTCACGCTGTATAATACACTAAAAGAATTCTAATCGCTCAGCAGTAAGTCAGATCCAAATGTGTTTTGGGCCGTGAACGAGGTGAGTCAACGGGCCGGTTTGCTCGGGGTTCAGTTTGCATCCGGTCTACGGGAAGCGTAGGATAACGTACGATTTTTTTTGGGGAGGGGGGTGGAGCAACCTAGAGACGTCATGCTATACAACCAATCCAGTCAAACTAGCACCAGCAACGCTGCAGTCAATAAATAAGAACTGAAGGTAGCTCTACCGCGAAACACTAGTCCGCACACGTATGATGAGCTGGCTATATTAAAAAACGTACGATGAACGTTGGCACGGAACACACCATTGCATGAGCATAGAGTGAGTGAATACGTTTGAGGTAAAGCCAATTCATTAGGTTATATTGTGCTTCATCAAGTAGATAGGTTTTAAAAACATTTTTCTGATTAGTCTACACCAAGGGAGAAAACACCCGTTTCGGTACTCTCACCAGGCCTTTCAGAGGCGGCTACTAGAGGCTAGCGGTATCCGGTACCAAAACACTAACTTGCACGTCATGCGCATGGGGATAATGGAATCGGAAGATGATAAAACTACACTAACTCAGCACGTAATTGGCTATACGATGAATACTCCCTCGACTGTTGGGGGAGAGAAATAAGCATTACTTGGCAGTCGGCTTGTTCTGTCTCAAAGTCTACAATACTGTCCAACTAGCTCAGCCTGTTTTAGTGCCATATAAGCATTGAGTATTCCTGTACCGACTAAGTAAATGGACGTACTGCGTGCGGAGCACAGTGCACTAAGCAAATCCGAAACAATTATATCACTTCAGTAAGCTAGACAGCACAGCTCGAAAACAGAAACCGGTCAATGTGGCGCGAATTCGATACGAAGTAACCAATCAACCAATTGGCAGGGCAGAGAGAAATCCAGCTCTCCCAGGCCAATACAAAAATAATCCAGGAGTTTGGAGCAAATTCACACTGAAGAATTCTCACGAACTCTGTGCTACCGCAATCGATACGAGATGAAACGAAAATCCTTTACTAGAGTCAGAAGAAACAGATGGTTAATGTGTTAGTTACCATTTTCGGTGTAGCATAAAGGGAAGCGAACAGTTCTGTGAAGCTCACGAAAGAAACAGACTGGAAGAGAATGGCCACCTCCGACAGTAACACAACTTCACCTAGGAAGCATTTACCTATGGCAATGACGGGTAGTTAGACTATCACACCACACCAGTTCTATCTGAATAACAGCAATGCATAGAGTTGACCCAGCAAATAACATTCAGGTCTTTGAAAGTTTTACTCACTTAGTTCACGATGGTTAGCCTGACCTAGGCTGATCACATCAGACATAGATGGAGAGCTGTCCGAAGTACGAGGAGTTATTTCAACCCCGGACTGCACAATTGTGTTGGACGCACTTACAAGTTCATAGCACTGAATCCCATCTCGGCACACAAGCTGGTAAGCTCTAACAGTCGACTGTATTGCTAAGGGTAATGTATGAGACACAGAAGAGGGGCCTTGAGATGAAAAAGGTGATCCAATAGAGAAAGAGCCACTAGATGAGGTTCCCCCAGCTAGGGGCTTGTCACCTGGTTTGGAAGGTTGTTCTGGGTTATTCAAGAGCAGTCCAGCTGCTGATGCACTGAGATCAGAAGAACTACTATGAAGGGCTGTACAGGCTGCACTGTCTAGCTGAGAAGAAAGTGAATCACAGAGAACGTCAACCAATCGGGGTCCAGCGTCAGCTGCGTGATTATCAAGAGCGGTCTGGTTGGATTCTTTTTGAACTGCCTTTAGTGACAGACAAGTTGAGTCAGATTGACTGCGGACGAGACATCCCAGTGTCCTATCTCGAACGACACATTCGGGGGCACGCTGTGTTTGCAACGAAGAATCGGCACCGGCTTCCTTGAGAACCTGAGTACCTGATAATCCAAAACAAATCCCAGCGGACGAAGACTGACTTCCCAGTTCTTGATCACGCCCACTTTTCCCTTGCTTTTTGTTTGTGTGCGAGACACACGCTGAGAATGGAGAGGATGCAAACCCTGCATGCCGAAAGCTGGCGATTTGACGAAACCGAGTTGTGTGGCCAGATGAACCGGACTTGGCTGGGGACTGTTTGGCTGAAACGTCACCATTCTTGCTACCAGATCTTAATCCGGCAGGTCCTAATGAGGAGCCAGCTGACGAAGCATTGGATGTGGTGTCCACAGGCCCAGATGGAGAAATTTGGTCAGTAGTAGGCAAATCGCCGGTTAAGTTATCATATTCCTTTGTTTCGGAATCAAGATAGTTTGAGGAGTCTTTAAGCCTGAAGCAACTGAAAGCCATGTCTTTTCCACGTAGTTCACATGAATTTAACTAAAAGTATGGAGCCGAACGCAAGAGGCTGAATATAATAAGATCCAAAAATGTATCACAGGCAGGCTGAACAAGGCGGCTTGAGGGGTTATCTGTTTCTGGAGAGGATGTATGAGCAAAGTATTCCTCCCACTCCAAAGGATGCCGTGGAAATAAACAGCAGATAAGTGGAATAAAATTCCGAATTCATTGTAAAAGTATTCCGTTGTCCACGTTCCAATGAGCGCCACACATCAGTCTGGCGTGGACCACACCTGAGTCGCCAGCACATGCGCCGAACATAGCACCAATTTTCCAAAGAATCCCCAGTAACCGGATCGTTAGTATTTATGCCCGGATGGGAAATACTGACCACATGATCCTGTGGGTACTATTGTGCTACACCATACTGAACTTCGACAGAATGTAAGCAGAAGCTGACCATTTGCCACTAAGCAGATGTGCAACTCTGCACCCATAGAGACATGCACACGCAGACACAGATGCAAGGCAACACGGAAAACTTGGGCAATTTTCTTGTCCACATAATGTGCCGACATGTGGTGGCACACGCCTAAAACGGACAGTAAAACGCCTACGAATGTTGTCCGGTAAACAAGCGGTCACCAGAGGGATTGCTGGTTCCTCAAATCGAACGTGCATGCGTGCGTAAACGTGGCCTTGTATGTTCCCCCAACGGTTAGTCAGAGGCGATTGGCCAGTTAGACGGACAGGCCACCGGTATGGTTGTCCTGTATGGCACATCCCATGGCCACAGATGACCAACAACCGCCAAAACAAAAACAACCAAAAAGGGACTGTCAAATCAGTTGGCAGCTTCACAGTGGTCCACAGCGGTCGACAGGATTTGTCCAGTTCGATTGCACGGATATATACAGACAAATCAAATTCACGATGATGAGCTATGTGATAGCAGCTCACACGCAATTGAAAAAAGTGCGTTTTTTTTCTGGACCAGGAATATCTAGGAATACAAGCGTTAAAACTGTGTCCCAAGTGAGTCCCTAATACCCATTCTCCTATTCTTTGGTTGAAAAACTTGCAACCAGCCAGAACTACATGGTGTAATAAATAGACTTCTTGTTAGTTGCACTTAGAATGTGACAGTGCATCCGACACACACGGCTACCCTCTTGTCACCATAAGCAACCGATTGTGAACCAAACACACACCCCTCCCCGTACATCGCAATTTTCTCTTGGACGCGTTTAGCTCATTCGAACGGATTGGGAAAAGTCTCTCGACCAGGTCAACTGCAAACGGCTACGCCCCACTTTTTGTTGGCCAGTTAAGGCTAATGTTGGGCATTTCTAACGTAAAGTCACCTGCTTGTTGTGCTGGAAATGTTGGACATCGACAGCTGGCTTCTAGGTGGTTTAGTGGAGAGGTACGGCACAAACGAAGTTCAACCGTTTCAGCAATAGATGAAAAGGAACGACATGCGATCCCGACAGATATGACAGTGCCAATCAGAAACGAAGCGGATGAAAAACTGAAACGTTACTGACTCTCATAGGCTCTCAACTCGAGGTCGCAACGCGACGTACTGATGCTACTTAGCTGATGACAGCACTGTAGTGATGGTGACCATGTTGACCATTCATTCCACTTCAAAGAGTAAATGAAGCGAGATGATGAAGTGGAGGTGGACCCACTATCTGTCGGAAAGTAAATTCTGCAGTTGGCTAGGACTTCGACTTTGACGAAATGCAGGAAAAATTGGTAGTCGTACATTAGATTATCACCACGTCATCAACAGTAACATGGGTGCTGAGAACTCGTTCCCCAGTACCGAACAAATGAGTCAACTGAGGCCTACCCAGAGAGGGTCTAAAATGGGAACGGTCTAGTATTGGCATAGCACAAACGTTCCAAGGTACCAAAACCGTCAACACCTATCAATGAGGCGAAACACACATAACTATAAGTTCAGAACTACAGTGTGGATCAAATCCGGGGAGGCAAGGCACACAGGGAGCATTTAGGCCTTTCATAACCTACCTACCCTTCTACCAACTGTCGCTGCACAACAAACTGGATCCGACACTGTAGACAGAATTTTTATTTTTGCAGACGAACATTGAACATGTGCGGTACGCGATAGAGACCACAATTTGTGACAATGAGGCCCTTTGTGAAGTGGATTATCTGCCAAATCCCCAAAAGATGCGCTGAGAAAGAGTTAACACCAACTGATATGAGCTACGTTTCGGATAAATCAGTTTCAGGATATCTTAATTCATTGATCCAATGTCTACAGAAAACAGGCTCAAATTGATGAAATGCCCACGACCAATGGGACAGGAAGTGGTGCGAGTACGTGAGGGCCAGGTTCTTTCCGACAGAACACTATGGAGACGAGTGGAAGCGTGTGGCAAAGACCTACTTTTACACTGTTACCATTGAAAGATGAGCTGACTATATAGCACAACAATGTCGTGACTTCTTGTGGGAGCATTGCATGGATGACGATCCCAGCAATACTCAGTCGCTTTTCAGGGATATATTCCTGACCTTTACACAACCATGTATAAGCCGTAGAGTGGTAGGAAAGCGGCGGGATGATGTGGCGAATTATCGATGAGAATGACGGGTCCAGAAATCGGTCCCATCTACTTGGTCCGCCCAATCAGGCGTACATAGCCCCCGTACAATCTAATTCAACTAGAGAAAATACGAGTACTCTTCTCGTTTAGCTAAATGCACGTTCACCATAGTGGCTAGTGCTGCGCTAACCCGAATAACCTATTACAGCAAACTAGTCACAACGAAAAGCTTATGATAACGACTCCACTGTCACCACATGATACTTGTTTTGGCCGCAAAAGGGGGTTATGTGTAAGTGAGGTTGGTTGAAGCGTCCAGCGGAACAGACTTACGCCTTACATTGGGTACACACCTCTTAGGACGACAGTAACCAACCAACCAGGTGCACGTTCGGTCCACATGTAGAAATAAGTATTGATACCCCACGCGACGGCACGGGTAGAAAGTTGTAATTGCGTTCACAACTGCCGTAGTCTGTCACCTCGACTCGAACACACTCAACAGATAAAGGAATGTTCAGTCCTCGTAAACGACACCTTCGCGAAAACATCAAGGTTTGAGTGGTGCGAACGTACGCGGAAAGACAACATAGGGTTAAACAGACAATACCAAAATCAGGTGTCCCAAAGAAAAATATTTACCTGGTCAGGTCAAGAAAAAACGAAAGACTGTCAACGTGACCTTGACCAGTTATACATATGACACGTAACGCGAGTCGTCTGAACAAGCAGGTGAATGTGTATGTGGGGCAGAAGTTGGCAACTAGCAATAGCAAGCCACGAACCATGAGTTGATCATAAACAACGACATCAAACGTAACAGCATATAACAGCCGTAGCAGGAAAACGTGACGAAACCACCTGCCTGTAATAAAACGGATTGTTACTCACCAACGTACAAACTGACTCCACTCGGGTGACCCTGTCGCATTAAGGTGTACAGATTGCACGATAGTTACTCCGCTCAGAGCATGCCTCAAACTACATCCAGAGGTAGTGCTGGAATAGAAAAATATATGATTGATACTAGTCGATACATGTTGGCAAGGCTAGGGCAACAGGTATCAGAGTTAACAATGATGCATAAGACAAGGTATGGAGAGCGAGGGCTCCCGCATGTCACCAGATGCACATAAAATTGTTGCGTTCACACGGCAGGTCACAGGTCCTAGTCGGGGCTTTTAGGCAGAAGTCTTAGAAAGACAACATAAACACGCCTGTGATAGTCCCTATGAGCGGCACACCCCATATGCTGTTCTTTTGGCCCTCACGCTAGTTCCGACATGCACGGCAGCTATGCATCAGAAGGGTTTTTCAGCCGAACGATCTGGTCTGGATCCGATTTTACCTATGAAGGAGGAGCAAGCAAACAAATTCGTGTTTGACTGGATGCCAACTTTGAAGTGGATCTATGCCCTTAACCGTAGATGACCAGTAAACATTTCGAACAACTTTTCAAGGACATGTATCCTTTAGATTTATCCACAATCTTCTAGTATTTCGAAAGACATGGATTGGAAGACTAACATCACATGGTCGCTTGGCATTAGGCATAGATTCTTAGTGTATTCGACCTCGACTAACGGATTCCCCATATGGTGCAGCACATCGGGTCTCAGGAGGCAGCTTTCATACGATCAGCAGGACAATCTAACGGATGAGGTGAACATTGTCAAAAAGACGATTATTCCAAAAAGAGTTCCCGAATAAAAGGCCACCTTCACAAATGTTCTGTTTTTCTATAACTGCAAGCACACGAGAAACCCGCAAAGAACCACTTTCAGCTGCACTAAGACGCGCAATATGCCGCGTACCCTTGTGCCTTCAAAAGAGAGTTAAAAACTCATTATTAACGTACCGAAGACCTTTGTCCATCGGCGGATGAGCAATAGAGACGTTAAGCATGAAGGTCACCGCTCGCAACACTTGGGCGTGCGTACCCTCAAGGACGAAAATGCCGAGCTCTTTGTTGGGAGTTGTGGGTAGCTACGCATTCGACCTGACAATACGTAGATCCGCGTGTTTCTTTTGGGTAGTACGGCAACATCATCATCATCATCGACAGCATAACACCAGTATTCAACACTGATGCTTCGTTGCCGTACAACCATGATTTATTCGAAAGCCTTATTGTGAAGAAAAGAATAAAGGTGGACGGGAAAGGGACTTAGTCCACCTTACTTCAATCATTCCGAGGTGCCTACATTTCAAACATTCATTCAGGCAATCTGGCTAGAAACTGACTACAAAATCACCATTGACGTCAGTTGGCTGCCATATCTCGCAGCGTCTCCAACAAAACGCAGTGAGAAAGGATCACGCGGTCCCCATCCTGAAAGGCGAGGAGCACCGACAGCACCCAAAACGTTCCGCGATTTATTTCATACCCCTCGGCCAGGTCAAGGGTTGGTCACCTCTCTGTTTACGCCACTCTGAGTTGGGCATGGAAAACAGCACTCTCTCGGCAAACGATGGTTCGGCATACGTAACACATGTCCCAACCAACGCAGCTCCTGGTGTTGGACACATTCTTCAATGGAAGTAACCGTTGCACAACCGAAAATTCGCTTTCTAAATGCCTCTTTAAGGATACGCCGACATCAACCCACACGAACTATGGTTCTGGGGACAACGATTGTCGAATACCTGAAGACGTCTCAGGTCCGCTGCTCGAATAGGCCAAGTCTCACAGCCATATAAAAAAGCAGCCCGCACTGTAGCTTGAAACAAACGTCCCTTTAGATTCTACGATACACCACTTTGACGCCATGGGTGTCTCAAATTAACAAACGCGACCCGAGCCTTGCAGATTCCCACAATGACCTCAGCTATCACATTACAATCAGAACTAACACAACTTACAAGATAAGTGAAACACTCCACAACTTCCAGTACCTCTGCCTGAAGTGTAAATGGCGTGTTCAGTGACTGCACGTATACGAGCATGACCTTACACTTTGCGGGTACAAAGTGCATACCAAAGGATGGAATGACTTTCGTCAGTTCATCCGAAAACACTTGCGCCTTCTCTTCCTCTTCGAACATGGGAACGATGTCGTCTAGGTATTCCACATCGACAAGGTTTCCGTCACAGGCTATTTGAACACCGGGGTTTTGGAGGCCTTCCGGCGTTCGTCTCATGATTTCATCGACCACGAATTTAAAAAGGAATGGGGAGGATGGGCATCCCTGAAGGACATCTCTTTGTGTACGGAAGCTTTTGGAGAGCTTGCCCTATACTGTCACACGTCCGTAAGTCTGGGAATACAGAGAGCTTATTATGTTCACAAACTTCCGCAGCACTCCTTGGTGAGCAAGCGTATCAAGCAGAACGGACTGGTCAACCGAGTCGAGTGCGCCTTGGTAATCCAGGAATACTAGAATCGAAGGTCGCTTATACGTATAGCGTTGTTCCAGCACCTGATGAAGTGTGAAGATTTGGTCAACTCAACCCCAGCCAGGCCGGAATCCCGCTTGGCAATCACGTGCCGAAAGGAAGTCACAGGTGGACGACTCGATTTTCTGTATAGCCCAGAACTTCAAACTACTACATCTGCTTACCAGCAGATATTCTGGTACGCGCGGGATACACTGGGCTGGTCTCGTCATGATCAACTCCTCTCAAAGTGTTCTTGATTGGCTGGCACATAGGTTTTGATGGAGAAATTGTATTCATTAACTTCTTGGTGAAACGTTGTTTTCAATGAAAAGACGATGAAACTTACGGTGGGCGGAAGCAGACATCTGGCAGCCCACTATGACTCATGGGTTATCGATTTGTTGTTTGAGGAAGCTGGAGCATGTGCAGACACCAATGGCCGACCCGTGAAAAACTCTTGGTTCGTTATTGCGCACTAGCACTCATAGAGATTGGTTTCGATGCTGCTTACCGGCACAAATTTGGGCAAGTGCGTATTAATCAATCTGGATGGTTTGATTTCAAGGCGACAACTGTCGCCTTGTTGCCTGCCTCTGTGGGCAACAGACTCTTTGCGGATCAGGTCATTGGCCAAACACTGACTAAACTGTCATGATGAAAACAGCTTACATTATGATTCGGACACTCAGGAATTATCCTATCCGAAGACATACTTGGATATAATTTAGGCAGTTATACGCATTCGTCCCGAGGCCGGTAGTGATGAAGCAAAAGATAAGCGAATTTAATCACCTTTCCGAGTCTGTTGAGGAGTGTGACACAAGTGTACACACCCATTGTTTTTCCAAGGTGCCTACAGCGTTTCTTTGATTGGAGGTCCTTCACAAAATGATTCAGGTCAACGAACGTACTCTCACACATGCTCGACAACCAGTCACACTATTCTATAGTCATGACTTAGACGTGTTTTGTATCCAAGGAACGTGTCTGTATCACTCTAGACAATGTTTCTGCTAGGACGAACGACAACTTTAAGTGATATATGTCACCTAAGGTTCTCCGGAGACTGGTTTCAAGCAATGAACAGTAGGAAACAGCCTCAAGTCATCGAGCTGAGGCCGCCATACCAGACTGGGTGCCGAGCAACAACAGTAAGACTCGGGTATTCGTTCAAGCTAGTTAGACGTCAAGGTTCATTTTGAGTTTGTCGTAGATACGCTGTTTGCTATTGTACAACTACACCGTCTGAGAATATTTAAGAGTCCAAAAACAGACTAGATGGTCGTCCAGCTGCCTAGCTGCCATGCCACCCGAAGGAAGTACGAAGGCTGGAATACTGCCAGGTTGCCAAAGCCTAGACAGGGGAAGTCGAGGAGGTCGGGTTCGAACCACGGACCTTCGCGCTCTAACAGACGATACCAAGCGCACTGTGCCAGGCCGCAGTTTCGTAGACCAGTCATTTTTGGAACACCACTTTGTTTCAGGAAAGAGCAACCCCGACTGAGGTTAAAAAATGGGTGGCTCGGGTGCGCTGCTTTGGTTTGTTCGCTGAGGTTGACAATCAGAATGTAATGTTTGCTTGTTTCACAGACTGCCAGAATTTGGCTCAATTCGGTGACAATCCTCAGAGTTCATACCTGAAGTTGATGGCATGTCAAGGAAGCTGCTAACCCACCACAACCTAGTACCCACAAACGAAAGCCGCAACCCATATACGGCGAGAAGAGAGGGAAACATGGCCTGGAAACGGTCGTACACCATAATAGGCCATTATAACCATTGCTGTTTAGCTTAATGTCTGACTAGACACTGGCAGTGTACTCGACTCTGCTCAAGCGCATAATTGGGTAGTCTGGATTACGCTGAAGTAGCCGTTATGGACAAAACTATAGCAGAACACCAGGTGATGGTCCGACCGTATCTGTCGGACTAGAAGTTGACCCATGAGCAGTTTTGAAGGTAATCCAAAATGCCACTGGCGAGAAACCGCTGGAATTACACAATTCGGGTCTGTTATTCAGGCAACGATTTTGTTACACAATAGACGGTTTACAAAGGAGGAGTCCAATGGTCAGACTGTTAAGGAAATGCAGAACAATTGAAAAAAAGAGAACGACAATCATGGCGGCCCACACAGAAACTTGTTAGCTCGATTCTCGAAAAGTTGGAGACTATAACATCGGAACGGAGGTGGGGATAGGTGGCCCGGAGAGTAGTCGTGTGGGATGGAGGGAGAGATCAGTCTGATAACTAAGAGTCCGTGAAGCCAACAGACACAGAGAGAGCAAACACAGTTGGTATGACCAAAAAGAAGGCAGAGGGACGAGGCTGACCCAAGTTTTGAACATTTGCTACCATGGCGATCAAATAAGGTAGAGGAAGCTAAATCTCGACACCGAGAAAAGAATCAGAAATTATCGATAAGGAATGGGCGGCAATTAAGCGGATGAACCTTTTTCAGATGAAGCCTAAGGGTGATAGGTGAACTAAAGTGCCTTCACTCCAGATGTGACAGCAGCTTTCTGGGGTAGGACGCACCTAAGGTTTGTGAAATACAGGAGGTTGAAGGAGGGGATGGTAGAGTACTTGATTACTTGTCAGAGAGTAACTCATTATTCTA